GAGTAAACGTATTGTGCCTTTTACAAGTTTCAGAATAATTACCGTTGATATAATTGTCTTTGTTAAGAATAATTCACCCATAAAAATGGATAAGTTTCTTAAAAAGAAGCGTGACACTGATGAATGTAACCCTGAAAGTGAGCAAACCTCAAATGTGGAAAGTTGTTCTAGTAAGAAAGCAAAACTGCGACCGACTCGTAAATACGATGAGAGTTATTTAAGCTTTGGTTTTTCTTGGACCGGAAATGTTGATAATCCGCAGCCAGTATTTAGGGAGCATTGATTCATTTGACATTTTTATTCCACAAACTAAACAAGTTTACAGTGTTTACTTTTAAAATGTTTACCCATTTACAAGAGAAACCCACAAGTTATTTTAAGAGAATATCCGAACAGCAAGGAAAAGCAGCTGATTCTTTTAAAAGTTTAATGACTGTTTCTGATAAAGCTCAAATTGCTTCTTACCAAGTCTCAGAACTGATCACACAAAATATGAAAGCTCATACTTTGGGTAAGTCACTTATTTTGCCTGCTTGCCAAAAGATTGTCAGTACGATGTTAGGAAATGAAGCAGCTATGAAAATAAGCAAGATACCTCTGTCCAATGATACTGTTAACAGGCGTATTTTGGAAATATCTTCTGATATTGAGAAAAATGTATGTTGTAATAAACTCCAGTGTTCTGATGTTGCACTGCAAGTTGACGAGTCAACTGACATTACCAACAAGGCGCAACTCATAGCATTCATTAGTTTCATTAACGAAAATCAAATAACAAATCAGTTTCTTTTTTGCAAAGAATTAAGTCTGACAATAAAAGGTGAGGACGTTATTAACATCCTGAATAACTACCTTGATAAATGGCAGTTATCGTGTAAATCGAGTGTAGGCATTTGCACAGATGGAGCTCCTTCTATGATAGGCTGCAACAAGGATCTTGTATCTTTTATAAAGGAACAAAATGAGAATGTTATTATAACTCACTGCTTCCTTCTTAGAGAGGCCTTGATGTCAAGAACATTAGGAGAGGATTTAAGAGAGGTCTTAGATCAAGTTGTTCAAATGGTGAACTTTATTAAAACAAGACCAGTTAAATCATACCTATTTGAACAGATTTGCACCAATATGGAGTCTCAACACAGACGGCTATTTTTACACACCGATGTGAGGTGGCTGTCAAGAGGCAAAGTACTTACTCGTGTACATGAGTTACTACAAGAACTTATCACATTTTTTGAAGCAATGAAACAATCTCATTTTTGTAACCTCCTTCAATGTGAATTTTGGATAACAAAGTTACAATATTTGGCATCTATTTTTCAGTATCTCAATATTTTGAACTCTAGCATGCAAGGGAAAGAGGAAAATATCCTCATATCCACTGACAAAATAAAAGCATTTCAGAGAAAGCTACAGATTTGGAAAAGAACAGCGATGGAAGGCAGTCTCGAAATGTTTCCATTGGTAAGTAATAATTGCAAAACTGAAATTCTGCCAATGATAGTTGAACATTTATCAACTTTAGAAAAAATTTGAGTTATTATTTTCCATCAATTAACACTGTGCAATATGACTGTATTAGAAACCCTTTTGTAGAAACTGCAATAGATTCTAGCTTAATGCTAACAGAAAAAGAAGAACTGGCAGCTGTGTCTACTGATCGTGGATTGATGATTAAATACAAAGAATTGTCTCTTGAAGCTTTTTGGATTTCTATCAAAGAAGAACATGTGTCAATATCTAAAAAAGCGCTGGCCATTTTATTGCAATTTTCCACCTCATATTTATGTGAACTGGGATTTTAAACCTTTGCCACAATTAAGTGTAAAAAGAGAGGAACTCTTCAATGTATTGATGAGGAAATGAGAGTTTGTCTCTCAAACATAAGACCAAACATTGAAGAAATCGCAAGGTCTCATCAAGCTCATGTTTCTCATTAACACAGGAATGAATAAACTTCATAGAGGTATGTTAAGTTTGCATTTATTAAATGCATTATTTTTTCTATATATTTAATTTAATTATAACATATTAGTCCTATTTTGTATACAGTGCGCCAGAAAGTATCTGTAGTATTGTAAGTGCGCTCAGACTGTATAAAGTTTCAGAACCACTGCCCTTACTCGATGGATATCAAATTTTTTAACAAAGTGATCCGCAAAAGTAAATGACACTTTATCCAAAATTTTTAATATAACAGCAGGTGTTCCCCAAGGATCAGTCCTTTCACCCCTGCTATACATCCTTTTTGTTTATGATATTCCTTTCCCCAAACAAACATACACCTATCACTCCCAATACGCTGATGATATCGCCATCTGGACTATTACCAGAAATCCTGTCATTGCTACTACATGTGTACAAAAAAACACAAGATTCAATCCTGCTATAGTGCAACAAATGGTGAGTAACACTAAACCCTACAAAAACCCAAGCAATAGCCTTTCACAGAAAATTAAGAAAACACAAAATCACTCTTAAGAAAATCAAACTAACGCTAGGAGGCACCCAGATACAAATTAGCAATAACATCAAATTCTTAGGAATCACTTTTTGACACCAGACTTACATGGAACAAACACATACAAAATACATATTCGTTAATTACGGATTAGCTATACAAGTTCATTAACAGCGAAACACTCAAACTGTTCACCATCAACAGCCTTAAGAATCTATAAAACATTCATCCGCCCACTTATAGAATATGTCTAAGAATAACCTCAAGAAACTCAAAATTCAGCAAAACAGAGCAATCAGATTAGCACTAAGATTACCCACGTTAACCCCCGAAAAATTCATCCATAATCTAAGTAACCTCCCCACCCTTAGAGAAAGACTAACAAAATTATCCAATAAATACTACACCAAGGCAAGCACAAGAAACAATTTAAAAGCATCACTACATAAAATATAAAGCACGCTCACGAAACACATTTCCCCCTACAATCTACACTGCCTAAATAACCCAACACAGTAAACGACTTACATGAAAAGGTCACTATTTATATCATGTCATAATCCTTTTTTATTTTCAGCCTGGGCACAGGTCAAATAGAATATTCGGCGTCTGACCTGTGAAATTGGGTTTTCTCCGGGTACTCCGGTTTCCCCCCCACATCCAAATTATCTCTGGCTTAGACCAGAGAGCCCAACTCTGAAAAGGGTCCGTTTAAATCTAATCTCATTTCTTTAAACAAATTCTTAAGTCAAAAATTGAAATATAACTTCAAACCTACGCTATAGACAAAAATTATATGCGTAAGTTCCAAGTTTGAAAAATTTGAAACAAACACGTATTTTAAATGACAATATGGAAACTCGTTGCTTGGTGACAGTATTAGTCCTTCTCCGACATCCGACGCCAAACTTCACGAAGCTGCCTCGGGTCTACCCATCCGCCTCCACGGCTTCACGACTCAACACGACACTGAAGACCAAATCAAGAATCACTAACTAAATCAGTTCACGCGTGGGGTTGAAGGGCAACAAATGTTCCCGAGCAGCTTCAATACCTCTTCACTTTGGCACTAGTCAGGCTTTTCTTTCCGTCCCGACTAGTGAAAGTGGGTTTTCTAGAGGTACTCCCACACCCCAACCCCACAAAATTCTTAGGTATTGGATCTATAGATCCAAGCCCTGGCACTTTGATCCACTGATCCCCGCCAGGCCAATTTGCCTCAGTTTGCTTCGATAACTTTTCAACAACGACTGCAGACTTGCTCCTTCTACAAGATCAACCGGCCTCTGCAACGCCTTGGACTTGCCTCATTATCATTTTATTTATTATTATAAATTTTTTCATTTATTTATTTTCCTACTTCTTCACCCATATGGCTCATTAAAACGCTGACCACTCAATGAACTTTAACCTCTTGCCTCGAGCAGGGTGAAGGATGATTGCTAATCTTCGAGCACCCTTGATTATTAATTTCCCCTGAAATAATTAAGTTTAAATAACTGCCAGAAATATACAATATACAGATAGAAGGTTTCTTAGTCTTTTTTTCAGAGGTTTTAGTTTTTGTAGAAAGAGGACATGTATCGCGAATGCTATTGAAGGAATCTGATAAACTCGTAAACAAGTGCAAATAACCCAAGCAAGTTCTGATTGCATTCAGGCCACAACATGGTCTATCACTTAGTCAAAATACGTTAAGAGTTGACAAAGTATAGCTCATACAGTCCTTATTAGGACTACTGATCCTTGCAAAGAGAACGAGAGCTGGCACCTGCCGCTTTCAACCACCTCAGAATTTAAGCTACTGGCAGCCATCCAAGAAGAAATGATGCAACGTCTACCAACGACTTGGACATCAGCAACACACTCAGCAGCCAGAATTCTCCCGCAAAAAAGGCACACCAGCGTAGCAACAACAGTGATACCTCACCCAAGATGCTACCAGACAACACTGCCCATGACAGAAATAAAAACAAGATTACTGAGAAGAAAACTGATAATAAACTGCCAGCACCACCATCCTCCATTATAGTTCAAAGAATATCAATCACATACCATCACCCACAAATAGCCCAGCACCTCAAGTCATTGTACCCAGCAAAAACGTTAATGAAGTCTACAGTCTGACCCGTGAAGGTCTAGTCATTAAATGTAAAGAACCAAAGGATTACTCAAAACTCCTCAAGTCATGGCCACCAATACCTTCGGAGGCACTTTTCTAAATGTCCACGTTCCCGAAGATACAGTGCCCACCAAGACAATAGTAATCAAGACATCGATCAAGACATTTCACCAGAAGAAATAAAAAGTGAACTAACCAGCCAAGGTATTGAAGTCACTTACGTCAACAGAATCAAGTCATCCATGACAGGACAGCCAACACCACTGATCTGTGCTAGCCTAAAAATCGTTCAGCAAGCTGACAACATGATCAAGAACGGAGTCACTATGGTTTCTACGCCACCCACTTGAAGAATCAAAACAGTCCACAGCAATTAAAGTGCTTCAACTGTCAAAAGTTTGGTCATGCAAAAGATGGGTCAGGTGTGGGGAACTATGCCAGGTAGCCACCTGCTCCAAGAAGTGGGAAGAAACTTGTTGTGCTAACTGCGGAGGTCCACACGCCGCTTCCTACAGAGGTTGCCCCAAGTATTCTCAGGTATTCACCCTCAAGAGGAATAGACTCATTCAGATGAAGAAACTTCTAGAGACCACCTAACTCAAGCCTGAACCAACCTACTTTGTCAGCGGTCCCAGAAGTCCCCAAGCCAGTCATTACAACACAAAAAACATCACATGCCGAGATCACCAACAACCCGAGAACAAACTAACATCCCAGTTAATGCAAACTCACCAACGGATTACCGATGTCGTTCTGTGAGCTACGTTAGGCGACATCCTGAACAGCCACAAGTTAATTCAAGAAGTCGTCTAATCGGCACCCTATTACATCGGATTCCAGACAAGAGAGGGACTACGTCTTCGTGAGGAGACATCAGGAGGAAGACCAGGTATATTGTTAAATATAATAGCTAGTAACATTCAGGGTGATCTAAATAGTAAAAAATATAAACTTTGATTTATGTCAAAAGAGAGAATATACACATAATAGCTATAAGTGAAACTGCTTAATGTAAATAGTAACTTTACTATGCCTGGTTACACTAGTATCTCTAAACCCAAAAGGCCCAATAGGAGAGCTATTGCTTTATTACATGAAAAAACCTTTATGTATCCTTCCCCAATACAAACATCAACTCAAATAATAAATATATACTGTGCGAAATTATAATACCTAACTTCCCCACAATTTCTCTATTAGCGATTTACATCTCCCCGTCTACTTTCCCCGATACACAGTTGATACACTATGTCATCAGTCAAAACCCCCGTGCAATAATAATCGGTAACCTGAATACAAAACACAAAAATTTCCATTGTAGAACAACCAACCGTAATGCCCATATTCTTAACAAGATCACAATACAACAGAACCTAATATTATATAACGATAATACACCAACCTACACGCACAATAATGGTAGGAAAGAAATTTTAGACTTAGCAATTACAACATCAGTTCT